ACTCCAAAACAGTGGCCAGTACACCAAAACTTAGGCACAAAAAGACAAGATATGCATGCTCATGTAACGGCTCATCAACAAGGCATAAGAGCATAACTCTCAAACATGATTAAGAAGTGACAAATGTGAGAATGTAGCCACACTATATGCACTAAAATCATGTGTAAAATGATGCCAAATCATTTAAACAACACAAGCATACCATGTTAGAAGGTCTAAGGCACAAGGCTACTAAAGGGGACTACACAAGAGGCATGCAATACATGGCACAAACGATTGAACCAACCAAAGACAGAGCTCAATTGGGTCAAAACAAAGACCAAAACATACTGGGGTTGGAGCTCAAAAGCCTAGACAAGCATGCATACACGCATTGGCCCATAAACGAGGCACAAAGGCACAACTCTTAAAAGCACTCAAAGAGTGAAAGAAGTGAGGACATGGCAATGCTATATGTTCTGAAATATCATGATAAATGATGCCAAATCATGCACATGTCATAAATGAAGCATGCTAGGAGGCTCAAAGCTTGAAACTAGCATAGGCACTTGCATTATAGCTATGCAAAGCAAGCCCCAAAAGGCCAAGAACACCTAAAACAGTCCTAAAGTATGTCAAAATAATGCTAAAATATGTATGGAGTATAGCCAAGACAAACTAGCATGAAGTGCCAAAACACCAAGTAAGCTAGGCCAATGAGCATGATTACACTACAAGTGTAAGAAGCAAATGAGGGATGTTCTAACTAACCAAAAACGGAGTTGTATCATAGCAAAATAACACCAAAAATACACTGAAATGGTAGCCCAAAAGCTTAGGCAAGATAGCATACATATTAGCTCATGCTTAAGGCATAAAGCACCAACCCTCCAAAGCATTGAAAGAGTGACACATGCGAGTGTATGACAATGAAACATACTCTGAAATCATATATCAAATGATGCTAAATCATGCAAATAGCCCAAGCAATACGTGCTAATGGACTCAAAACACAAAGCTAGTGAGCAAGATTGCACTATGACTATACAAAGCAAGGCATGGATGATCAAGAACACTTAAAACAAAGCTTAAACATGGCAAAACACGAATAAAAACTTGCTGGAGTGGAGCCAAAAAATGCTAGAATAGTGGTCTAAAGCATGATGCATGTTAAGGCTATAGGGAGGATTACACTGCAAGGTTATGAAGCATGCAAGAGGCAATCAAACCAACCCTAGACAAAGCTATAGCATGCTAAAATGACACCAAAAACATGCCGTGTATTTATAATTTACCCTTAAAAAAAAAAAAAGTCAAATAAAAAATGCTTATCCAGCCTAACTGATTTTAGTGTACACATTTTTTTGTAGGGACTCTCTTTTTTATATGATGTAAAACCAATACTTGACATTCAATTTATGTTTAAACTCTCTAGAATTGTATGATACCAAACTTACATCACCTAAGATCTTATGTCTAAAAGAAAAATATGACAAAAAAGAGTAACTTGAAATAATTAATATATTTCAGACTAAAGAGGGCCAATTGTTTTAATATTACTAAATGCGATTCGGAAATAAAATTATGAAGGGAAGTTACCAATCACTTTCATTCATTTGTCATGTGTTATGTATAGCATTACGTTTTGTATTGCTTTTGTTTTTATTTAAAGCTAAATTACACTTTCATCCCTAAAGTATGAGTCATTTCTCTTTTTAATCCTCATTGAAAAAATTCTTCCACTTTAGTACTTAAATTTTCGGTTGTTTCCCAAGTTGGACTGGTGGGTAGGTTTGTGTCATTGGAAAGGAAATGTGGAGGGGAAGGAGACTGTGTAATAGGGTAAATTATCAATAAGTCTTACTTTTGAGACTTATTATCCATTAAGTCATATTGATAAATTTATCAATTTTTCTTGTTTTTATGAATAAATTTATCAATAGGTTCTGCAAGTTAATAAGTCTAGTTAATAGAATTGACTGGTAAGTATCCTTGTGTAACATCCTGAATTTTGTGACTTGAAATTTTACTAATGAACATTTTTTTTTTTGTATAAAATGTAAATCAGGTTATTTTTGTGAATTTTAGGGAAGTAGGGTCAATTTGTAATTATAAAAAATTTGAGAGGGTTTGGTCACTTTGCTAAATCTAATATTTGAGAGAGGTGAGGTGGTCAATTGTGGAGGTTAGGTGGTATGAAAGTGAATAAAGAAGGGGACAATGAATTTGGGAATTTCGGTGTGTGAGTTCGCATTTTTTGTGAATGATGTGATAAGTTGTGATTATGAGAAATTATTTTTATTTTTTAGTTAGACTTCTTTCTTTTTTTTCTTTGAATTAGAGACGAAAGTGGGAATTTTTTTCTTTCTTAACGACGCAAGTAGAGAAATAGGTTAGGTCTAGGTTTTGCTCAACCCAACCCACATGACATTTTTCGTCACAAAAGTATAATGCAATTGAAATTTGAGTAAAAATTGAAAGAATCTAATAATTTTAAGAATCAAAGTGATAGGATCGTTTCTTTAGAAGACATTGAAAAACTATAATTTACCTTTTATTTAATTGTGTGGATAAAAATATGGAATATAGCGATTTTGAATAACACTATTTCTATCTAGATTGTGGAACAATCCAAATGACTTACATAAGTACTCTCAAACATTACACATGCAAAATTGATTACTTGACCGTGTCAATAACTTAAGGATACTCTGATACACACACACACACATATATATATATATATATATATTTTACGAATTAGGACTTAAAAAAGTTAGACAAATACATGTAGTTATATATGTATATCCAACCTACTACATAATTATTGTGCATGTATTCTATATTTACTAGAAAATTTATCATGATATTGTTGGATATTAGTGGGTTCATGTGGAACCTTTACACCAACATTTGTGAATGTCGAATTTTTTTACGAATTAGGACTTAAAAAAGTTAGACAAATACATGTAGTTATATATGTATATCCAACCTACTACATAATTATTGTGCATGTATTCTATATTTACTAGAAAATTTATCATGATATTGTTGGATATTAGTGGGTTCATGTGGAACCATTACACCAGCATTTGTGAATGTCGAATCAAACGGTAAATATTTTTTAGTTTTCAAACATAAATTTTTTTTATTTTTCTCATTTATTTTATATTTAGAGATTTTTTAAGTGTTTCCAAATTAGATGCACCTAAAAATTGATTTGTGAATAAATAAATATATAAAAAATCACTAAAAGAAAAAATGGAGTATTCATTTAGAATAAGTGCATCTAAAATGCAAAATATTTGTCAATAAATCTAAAAAAAAAATCAAAAAAATTCTTCAAAAACTAAACCAAACAAGGTCAAAAACAATTTTTTCTTCCTTAATGTTGTGTAATGTATTTATAAAATGATTTATGAAATCCATTAGCAAAACCGACCTTAGCTCAGTTGGTAGAGCGGAGGACTGTAGTGGGTAAAAAGCCTTTGTAGCAATCCTTAGGTCGCTGGTTCGAATCCGGCAGGTCGGAATTTTTTTGTCTGGAAAAATTGTATTTTTATCATTAGATGACTATACTAACTAAGCGTAATATGGTACATAAAATTTCCCTTTGTTTTTGCTCATTCTGTTTCATCTTTTGAAGAAAAAAACTATAAAAAAAAATATTTTTAGATATTTTTCATCTTTAGTAAACTTATTTTAGATTTTAATCTCCGCCCTCCATTCTTAAAACCAAACAATATTAGCCATCCACCTAGACAAAAGCGCCATCAAGTTTCTAAAACCCCTTCCCTTGTTATGTAGATTTTAACAAAAAATAAAATAAAATAAAATAATTTAAAAATCATTCTTGACTAAATGAACCCAAAAAGTAAAAAATTATAGAGGTTTAAAAAGTTTCACTACAAATAAAAAAAATTCAAATTAAAAAAAAAAAATCATTTTTACTTTTCAAGGCTCATCTAGCCTAGAATGATTTAAAAAGTAAATTGTAAAATGAGATCCTTGTGTCTTAAAATTTATACTAACCGAAAGTATTTCAGAACAGAATGACGAGAGATTTACGCTGTGTTTGGTTGAGAAATTTGATGAGGGATTTGAAAAGGAAAAGGAAAAAGTTAGGTGAAATGTAAATAAAATATACCTATATTTCACCTAGTTTCACACACTTTTTTCCTTTTCCTTTCCAAATCCCTCTTCAAATCTTCCAACCAAATACAGCATTAGGGACCAAGGATTCCTAACCGATAAAATATGTAAAAAAATTAACTCCTTTTGTGGAGTATAGAAGAAGACCCGGATACAAACACACCATACAATCCACAGGTAAAATGCTATTCAATGTGTTTAATTTTAATTTTCTATATTCAATTTTTTAAAAATTAATTTTTGTATTTTGTGTTTTTTTTTTTTGAATATTTTTAAAATTTTAAATAATTTTTTATTTTTTTAGATGCACTTTACATATACATATTATTTAGATATATCTAAATAGTAAAATATTTATAAATAAATATTTTTAAAAATTAATAAATACATAAAAATATGAAAAATGTATTAAATTTTAAATTTTTTTTTATATATTTTTGATATTTGGTGAATTTTTTTAAAAAACAATTCACAAATATTATACTTTTTATGTGTATTTATGTTAAATGTCTAAAAATTTTAAAAAATAATTACTTAAAATATTAAAAAAATTCATTGAAAACAAAAAAAATACGAAAAATAAAAACGTAAAATTTTTTAAAAAGTACTTCTTGAAAATCAAAACCAAACAAGCTGATTATTACTTTGCACTTGAAACAAAATAGAAGAGTCAGAACTTAAAAGAGAGTTCTGCTGTAAGACTGGAAACTGAAAATTTATTAGCAGAATCCTATATCACTTTAGGAGAATTGAGATCTTACTTGACCAAAATCACCAATAAAAGCTGCACTAGGAACCTGGAAAATTATGGGGAGACAGAAAATCTCTAACAGAAGTGTGCTTGATAAATCCTTTAGCACACACTAGTGTTGTAATTGGAAATTATCACCCGATAATGTCATAGGATTCAACCATTTCTCTTATTACTGACATTAAACAATCGAGAATCTGACTTCAGAAACAAAGAAATATGCGTCTGCCTGTATACCCTTGGTAAATGGATGGCCCAAAGAACCAATCAATTCTGCCTTTTGATCTTGTAGCCAAACGTATTCCTATATCGTAACTCATAATTACATCTGATTTATTACTGTAAGAAGCTAATTACATTTAACCAACCATCCATTTACATCGTATACACAAGGCAAAATCAAAATGTGATTTACTCAAAAATTGTGTTGGGATCGTTCATGAGAGCTGAACAGCAACCCAACCCAATAAGCTGAGGACTAACCTGAAAATTAAAGAAGGTGAATAAGAATAGTAATATTAACAATTTACAGAATTCTAATGAACATTATGAAACGAAAAATGATTCATCTCCCTATTTTTGCCACCCAATTCCACCCCCAATGATGTGGAATTAGGGGGGGATTAAAAGATTAGAGTGAGAGATGTGTGGGACTGCTTCACATGGGTCTTAGCAACGTCGTTGGGGATGGAATTGGGGAGCCTCAATTAGGGAGATGTAGCAGGACTGATTATGAAACCATATTACAAAAGACGAGAAACTATTGGATTAATAAAAAGCAAGAATAAGCAGGAATATTTTTGTTCCTCGTATCTTTCTGCATGAGTGCCATGAGGATGTTTTTAAGGATGAAAAGAGACAAACATTGATATGAGTGACTCATTTAAAAAAGCTATGTGAAGGCTTAAAAAAGGCTCAAAAACATTCTCATGCTAGAGCAGTTGCCTATAGCTCACCTACAAGCACACTGGTAACAAATTCACAAAGTAGACAGAAAAGCAAAAGTAAGAAACTAAAAAATAAAAGCTGAAAAACATGACAAAGAGAAACTAAGACTCGAATCCAAAATACTTCGAGATCAAGGTCATAAATAATTTCCAACATGAGATATTTCGCTGAAGCACAAATTCAGACTTCAAAGTTCATTTTTTATCCATTGTGAGCGCAAAACCACCAAAATGGCCGTTATTGTAATGCTAGTTCCCATGTCACAATTTTATAACAGCAGTAAAAATTCAAATCACTACAAACATACATGATGGTTTGCCTTCAATCCATTGCAAATTCCTTCATCATACTAAAGAAAGTACAAACAGATTCATAATTTTTGGCAAAAAATCTCACTAACGTGATAGGAATTTTATCCGACTCCAAATATCCAATGCTGCTTGGTGCTTGAGCAAGCATATATATTTGCATCATTACATGTACACTCCTAAGAATATGAACAAGAGAGAAGGCAAGTTTCTAAAACAAGAAGCTGGAAATTTCACTTTGCCAACATAACGTCAGCCTTTGAGAGGGAGGAGGCACCATATATTTTAATGCTGTGTTTGGTTGGGAGATTTGAGGAGGAATTTGGAAAGAGAAATGAAAAAGGTAGGTGAAATGTGAATAAAACATTCCTATATTTCACCTAGTTTCACACACATTTTCCCTTTCCCTTTCCCTTTCCCTTTCCATTTCCATTTCCAAATTTCTCCTCAAATCCCCCAACCAAACACAGCGTAAAGGATTGGTATATGTTACCGATTTTTTTCACCATTTTATATCACCAGGGAATGGGGCAAGATATTATTTATCTTCATTATTTTCTTAATGATTAATTTATCAAAAAAAAAAAAATGTATTTCCTTAATGATTATTTCAAAACCAAGGAACCAACCATGAATATCCATGTAAGCAGTGATACAAAACAGTGACAAGAAACCGGTGGCGTATAACATGACATTTTATCACTAAAGAGAACCAAATTAAAAGTTCTCTTATCATGGGACAGAAAGAATCCTAGGAAAAAGGCAAAATTATAAACAAATTTTCTAACAGTCATACTACGACTTAACCAACCCAAACAATTCCACTAGAAGATGACGATATTAATTAACAAAGACTCTTGTTGGTTATATTTGGGGCAAAACTATACTTGCTAAAGTAAATATCTGAATGATGAGAAAGTGCCAGTCAAAGAGAATTATTTTACCTTTGGATTCAATACATCTAGTCGAAAAAGGGATGTATTAATTTGTTGAACTACAGAACAACAAAATCGAATGACAAAATGCAGCAGAGTTGAGGTGATGAACATACCTTTAGTCACAAAAACTTTGCAGAAAAAAGTTGCAACTTGTCGTCACTGATGCATCCAAGCAGACTAGACCCTTTGGAATGAGTATACTTCACATCACGAATGGGATGCTGATGTGGTTTAAGAATGTGGCTCACAATTAAACTTGGTAGGTCTCGCAATGTCAATCCACATGTCACATCATCGCCATATGCAAACATTGGTAGGCAATTCTCAACATTTATAATTGCAGATTTTGCCAAAAAAAAATTGCCCACATGGGTAGATGCAGACCCCAACTTCTGATAAAAGCTACCAGCCACCCTCTTGACATGAATCTGAGAACTCAGTGCTTCTTGTCCAAGCACAGCAGGTAAATGTGGTTGTGAACTGCCAGTTTCCTTAGACATCTGAATTTTGGGACAGTATGTAGCAACAATGTCATCGCTTGAGGGACTATAAGCAAGTGATGTACACATGCCTTTATAGTCCAATTCAGGGAGCAAAAAAGGCCTTCAATGAAAATAAAAAGAAACGTTAGTATTGAAGCTTGGGTAACCAGCTTAAGGAATGATAGAATATCACCCCCTATTTATAAATGAAGATTTAGGGTTTACAAGAAATGCAATTACAAGATGATCCCTGAGTGCATAAAATGATTATAGACAGACCCTAGTGAACCTTTCGGCTAATATAATATGCTAACACTTAATATAATATGCTAACACTTCCCCTCAAGCTGGTGCGAAGATATAAACTACCCTTAATGACTAAACTAAATAACCAGAATATAAACCATAACATATTTCACATAAACAACCATATAAAGCACTACTATTCTCATTTTTTATATTGATATATTAGTATTACCAAGTTATGTTGAGTGGCACGTTTAAAATTATAGGTGCACCCACTTTTTTTTATCCCTTTTTTTTTTTTTTTTTGCAGCTCTGTTGCAAGATATATTTTTTTACTACGGGTTACTATTATTATCATCATCTTTGGTCCAATGTCAACAGAATACAGAGTAGGGGGTAGCCCTCCCTGCCTATGAATCCCTCAACCCAGATGAAGGTAGGACTCGACTCAAGGTAAGGCAAACTCTAGTTGAAAGTTCCTTTAGTGTTCACATATTCTAGTTGAACAATAACATGACCATTATAGCAGCTATAGTTTTCGATCAGCAACAAAAAGGGAATTGCTTTAGAGAACGTTTTGAGGAGGAACAACCTTTATAACGAACAAGTAAAAACAAACAAATGAATCCACAACAAACAAATGAAAAAATAGAGGTAAAACCAGATCCATAATTCAATCCCAAATACATCCACAACGAGCAAATGAATTTCAAAATAGTGCTAAATTCACACAAAAAATGCTTTCTCATCTTCTTTCATTAATTTCCATTTATCTCCTCCTGCCGTCAGGATAATAACAACAGACTTGATATCAAGATACTTTTCCTTTGAATTGCTTCCTGAACTCTTCCATGAAGATTAAAAAAAAGAAAAAAATAAAAGGGTAATTCTATTCGCACACCATACTTTATCTCAGTACACACCATTTGTGCCGTTTGGATATCAACTTCCAAACAAAAATAAAATGTTTGAATATCAACTTCCGAACAAAAGCCAATTGATCGAACACAAATTCTGTTCGATAGTTGATATCTGAACATTTGTATTTTGTTCGAAAGTAGAAATCCAAACATTTGCATTTTGTTCAGAAGTTGATATCCGAAAACATAAATGGTGTGTACTGAGACAAAGTGTAGTGTGCAAATAGAATCACCCATAAAAAGAAGTACTAATACTTATTCCTTCCCACATTGCCTTTCTATAGCCTCACACCCACTTTGTTTATCATAATTAATCAAACATTGAAGCCTACTAAGTTTATTCTCATTCCTGGAGGACTTTTTTTTTTCTCCCCTTTTTACTTCTCCTCCTTACCCTTTACCAAACTCTGGAAGCTCACTACAATCAAAGCTCTTCTCTTCCACCTTTTTATCAACCTTAGCCAAAACCTTCACTTTTGAAATTAAATCTCCAAACTGTTCAATACTCTCATTGGTAAAAAAAAATTAAAAATGAGTTTCTCTACCTTAAGAGTGTACCTATCAACCTTTTTTTGAGATAATGATGTGGATCCCTTGAAGCACCATCCTCCACAATACCACACTTCATTTCAGTTCAGTGATTCCCCTCCACCTTGGTTGAAATACAGTTGCTAACTTACCAAAAAGTAAAGGAGTATATTTGCCAAAAAGACACTGATTATTCCCCAATGGTTGGTGTCAGACAGCTCAAACAGAAAACTTCAAGCGCGGGGGCAGGAGTAACTAACAATATTGCATCATTGAAGAATGGCACCGAATTGATGAATATTAATATATGAAGAAAAATCAGAAAGAAAATTAAATGGAATGAGGAAACACAAATCACTTGTAAATACTAACAGAATATACCACAAGTCTGTATAAACCAACCTTTCTTTGGCACCACTAGTGTTCCACACACATGGGCCAATTGCAGAAGCAGTAAGGAGACTAGCACCGTGACAAAGAGTGGGTTTATGTTCAAAAGAGTGTATAGTATGAATGGGTCGCGAGCTTAGTCCATTGATGGATTGAACAGGATGTACTGTCTGACGCATATCAAACACCAAAAGCATGCCGTTCTGCAAAACCAAAATGGTAAAATAATGACCTGGAAAATGCTATAAGCCTACAAGGTTCCAAACAAATGATCAAATTTTATGGCAATCATATCATTATTGTGAATCAATTAACTGGGGGAAAAAAAGGATTTTTTTAGGAATGAGATGAAATTATTATCAAGACCCTGAGTTTCAATATAATATAATGCATAAGATGAGTCCTCTAAAAAATTATTTAACAGCTAAAAACTCTCGAAGCAGCTACAAATGGTAAAAACAGAGACCTGTGAAGCATACTTCAAAGGCAGGCTAACCATATTTTTGGATATAAAACAATGCGGAGAGTTAAAGATCAAACCTGTATGCCAGCATACATGTAATGTGAACTGTTGGGATCCCATGAGCATGACCAAGCTGGGCCCTGAAATAGAATATTTAAGAATTTAAAACTAGACAACAGGTGTGGAGACTAAAGAATGACAACAATAAAGAAAAAAAATAATTGATACAACTGCTTTTTTATTTTTTAATTTTTTTACGTTCTTTTATTTTTCTCAAAATTCCAAGATTGTAAATATATGGAAGCTCTTAACAATTTTGAGGCGAGTGAAGGGGTAGTTCTACCACAGACCAATAATGACTGAATCAACTCTTCAGCAATTTATGTTTTCGTATGTTTTTTCCTTTTTTTTGGCTGCGGAAGTAGAACTGCACCCGTGTGCATGCTTATGTGTAAGAAATCATAATTCTTTTATATAGGAAAAAAAAAAATAGACTCATCTAAACAGCAGTTGAAAGATCATGAGGAACTCCAACAAATTTCTATAGAGTTTCATTCTATCTATCATAAATATAACCAAATATCAGAGTCATGAAGGAATATTCTTTTGGGGTTATGTGCACCACAAAAATCAGATATGTTTAGCTTTGTTATTTCCGAAAAGAGGCCATCTCGGAAGAGGACACTGTCCAATCACAACTCTCTTAATCTCTTTTGTCCCTACTCAGCTTGGGTAACTCATTTCTAAATGCTGCCATTCTCCTCGGAATTACAACAATTCTTCAAACCAAAAAAAAAAAAATTCCTTTTAGAAGACTATCCTTTCTCAGGTTTTGTCTTTTGTGTGGTTTATAAGTAATATGTATAAGCCAGTGTAAGTTTAGCTTCGATCTCCAACAAGTAGATTGGAATTTCATCTGCATTCCCAAGGAGTAGGCTCACTGGTATTAGACTGCTGATTCTTATGGGTATTAGACTACTAACTCTTATGGATCACACCATATATGGCTATAAGGTTTCCTTTGGAAAAAAAGGAAGTCCGCAGAAAAATTTTGTGACTTGAAAGTATAATGATAGGTCCTACCATGAAGATCGAAGGACTATTGGGCGGGTATTTGAAAATATAGTGCTTGACAATCAACCAATTGATGGACATGCTGCCAAATAGACGTAATGCATGAAAGACGGTGCAATAAGTGAGCCATCTACTTCTTTAATTCACTTGGTAAGTGAAATGTGGGCATTCATTCTCTCTCATCTATGTCAGATAGATTGTTATTTTCAGCTTTTAAGTTGGTCCCTAATGGTAGGTTAGTACCAGACATTAAGAAAATGGAGATATCAGGAGAATTTTATTGCATAATGTACAAATGTTAGGAATGTGGTAACTTCTGATTGTTGCTTGAAACAGTTAAGCTCAAAAGCACTTTTCATTGGAAGCCATCAGATGGTTAGGCTCTGCAACTTCTATCATTGGTATTTTGTTGATTGCTAGCTTGAAATATTTTTTCTAAAAAGCACTTTCTTATTGGAAGGCATGACGGTTAGGAAGCCGCTACTTCTTTTGTTGGTTTTTCTATTATTCAGTACACCCCTTACATCTACATGGAATTTTGGCCCTTTGATTTCAATCAATGAATCCGTTAATTCCTACATTAAATGAACTTGGCAAGGGTGCATGTCCCAAATGTCAGATCCTCCAAACCTTCAAAGTTTACAATAAAGGGTTGCTAAAAGCGTTGAGTCTCCTAAAATTGGTGTGGACACTGATAAAAAGTAATTTAAGAGGAAGGGGTGAAGGTGAAAATCTGATTGATAAGTTGGGATTGTACTGTCTTAGTTTTGTTTATCCAGAATCCTTTAGATTCAAGTGTTTTTCTCCAAATCTCCAATTTCGTGTTAACTCCTTCTCTAGTGTCATTCACTTACACGATATCACTTACAAAAAGCATACACATGGCATGTCATCCTGAATATTTCTCGTCAACTCATCCATAATTAACGCAAAAAGATAAAGACTTAAGGTAGATCCTTGGTATAACCCTACAGTGAAAGGAAATTCATGTGCCTCCCCAGCAGGTGATCTAATAGTGGTCACCACCCTTTCATACATGTCCCTAATCACATTAATGTAACCTTTTGTCACCCCTTTCTTCTCTAACACCCACCATATTATATCCCGAGGCACTCTATCATATACTTTCTCAAGGTCGATAACCACCATATGAATGTCTCTTTTCTTTTCTCTATACTTTTCTATTACTCTCCTCAACAGATAGATCGCTTCCATTGTTGACCTACCAGGCATAAACCCAAATTGATTCTCTTACACCTCTGTTATATCTCGCAATCGGCGTTCCATCACTCTCTCCCACATTTTTATTATATGACACATTAGCTTGATTCCTCTATAGTTGTTACAATTCTGGACATCACCTTTATTCTTATAGATTGGCACTAAAATACTCTTCCTCCACTCATATGGCATGTTCCTAGTCAACAAAATTTTGCTAAACAACCTAGTCAACCAAGCCACCCTTTTTTTACCCAAACACTTCCAAGCTTCAAACCTATGTAATTTGATCTTTTTGACACTATATTGAACATTACCAATATTTAATTAGACTGACAGACCATTGTGTTCAATGCCCAGAATCTTTGGGGCTAGCTGCATGGATCATTTGTGTGAAAATATTGTAAAATGTTATGTCTATATTCAGTCTATTGCTGATAGTGCCAGCACCCCGCATTGACACGACCAACATTGGGTATTGACCTTTTTTTGCTCTTCTTCCCATCCCTGCAACTCCATCAGCATACATCAAACCACTTCTTCATGATGCACTTCTTCATTAGTAAACCATGCTAGATGACTAGCTTCCCTTTCATCCATGATTGCTCTAGTATGTTGCCTTCCATGGATGGAATGATCTCTTCAATGGCTCTCTTGTAATAGAACTCATTCACATAAATTCCTCCTGTTCACCTGAGCTCAATCCTAGGAATTGTTTTTTGACTATCCCAGTTTTTGTGCCATAAATCAGACTCTCATAATAGCAACCTCGCCAAATTTTCCATTAAATTTTGCTATTGTAACTTAGCTGATCTAGTTTTAGCTTTTCCAGACAATGTCCAGATTAATCCAAAACCATAAAATTTGCCAACAAGTTGAGGGCAAAGGGTTTCAGCCACTGAAGAATAAGAAGTGGGAGATGAAAAAAGTAAATAAAATGGATCTTGGCACTCCTACTTTTCATCATAGGTAGGACAAATTTGTAACAATTAAATTTCAGTGTCATCTAGGACTAATTACTCATTTTTGGGACTGGTGTTTTATGGTCCCCTAGTTATACTGATATGCAATAGGTACTGCATCAGACAGTACTTCAACTGACAAGATGACACTTTGCAAAATACTGCCAAATAAACTGGAAGGGTTCATTATTTTCACAGGAATTGGAACTTCAAAACAGAAGAACTATGCTCAACTTGAAAATGTAGAAAAAAAGAAAAAAAGAAAAAGAAAAAAAAGGAGCATGAGTAAAGATATATCCACAAACATGTAAACAAGAAGTAACAAACTTTTACCGGTAAACTATAACTGATGACAACTTTGTTGCAGCCCATGCTGAAACAATAGAAGAAACTGAGTCAGCTAAACTCCAAAAGAAAGTGTAGAAAAACTAATATCTTCTTGACAAAAAGAAAAGACAGTAAGTATACCTAATAATTGATAATTTTTTACCCATTGAAGCTAAAAGTACAAGTCTCCCACAAGGGGAGACATGTAGATCTTTAACAGCTTTTGTATTTGAAGGAAGTTTTATGTCTTCATTTTGATTTGGATCAGTCAAGTTAATCTAGAAAAGCACGTTCAAAACTGATTATGAACAGAAGAGTGAAGTGTAAGTTCTGAATAAACAATGAATGTATATGTTGCAAAATAAAGTATACTTCTTTGAGCAAGAACTTTACCTTCTTGAGCATATGTGTCCCACCCATCCCAGAAATCCTTCTAGCAAAAATCAGAGTTTGATAATAACAATCCATATCAAAAATCCTCGCACTCTCTACTGCCATCTCATGCTGTAATTGCAAAGATATCAAGATAGGAACACATGACAAATTGAAAAAAGACATCTTCTTGGGAGGATAATTCTAGTGATATAACCAGTAAATGGCGAAGCAGGTGACAGCAGGACTATAAACCTTACCAAAAGGCAACAACCAAATGTAGGTCTTGAAAAGACTTCTATAATGAAAAGGCATCTTCCTATTTATTTCTGTCCTTAATGAATTTGTTAACCTACAAAGGAAGCTATTTGGATTTTGGCAGTGCCTTCAGTGCATGTGAGCTGGGCCATCAAAAGATTATCCCATAACCAACTTGCAAGAGGAAGGGAAGGGCATGATCGAAAGATTTCAGAAGAAATATTCTACTCATTTTCAGGGTGTCACAAAGTTAGCTGCCTCTCCTCATTCTCTCCCTTTCTTATCCCTTTTTCTATTTCTCTCTCTCTCTCTCTCTCTCTTCCTTATTATCCAACCATGAATAATATTTTTCTCGGATTGAAGAAGGGAAGTTTCAAAAGTTTTGTATCATGTTGATGCTTCCTAGATATTAAAATTAAACTAAGAAAAGAAAATCAAAACAGGAAATAAGGATAAGAAAATTCTCAAGGCAGATTATTTTGAGCATAAACTAGTACGACAATATTGCATGGATTGAGATAAACAGGCAGCAAATCAAACAACTAAGACTTAAAGGCATGCAACTAACCCAGTGATAAAATATAATGGCACAAGACTAGTGAGAAGGATGAATTGGTAGGCCAATGTATGACAGGTAAAACACTACTAATATGTCTTATGTTTATCTCAATTGAAAAGAAGCGCCAACTCCAAAACTGTGCGTTTGTAGGGGGGGTGTACACATGTGTATTGATTTTCCACCTAGGAATGGCAACGGGTCGGGCCGGGGCCAGGGATCGCACTCCCCATCCCCGATTCCCGAAGGGCAAAATATCCCCGTTCCCGCCCCTGATCCCCGGCGGGAAACCCATCGGCCCCCCCGCCCCAGCCCCCAACGGGGATCGGGTTTCCCCGACCCCGAAAAATCCCCAACAATCATCAACCACAACAACTCAACTCTGAAAATTCAGATCTGAAAAAACCCCCCAAAAGCCTCAATCATCAACAATTTAACAAATTTTTTTTTAAATAACTCAACAATCATCAACAATTTAGTATGTTTGTTCATATCACACACACAAATCTAAGAAAACCCTAACAAACAAAAAAAATTAGAGCTGAAAACAGAGTAAATGGAGGGGAGAAAAACGAACAAGAGAGAGAGGGAGAGTTGAGAATCTGAAACTCTAAACTAAACACACATATATTATATATATATAATACGGGGTAACGGCACGGGAGAGAGAGAGATCTGCTCGTTGTCGGAGTTGGCGTCGATTCAGATCTCGTGGCATCGATTCGGACCGTCGTCTTCGTCGTCGTAGTAGTCGGAGGTGGCGTCATCGTCGGTGGGTTTGGTGAAATCTGAGTGAGGGAGAGGGAGAGAGACAGTAAGAGGGAGGGAGATGAGAGGCACATCACTGAGTGTGAGAGGAGGGTTTGGTTTTGAGTGAGAGTGAGTGAATGAGGGAGAGGAAGAGAGAGAATAAGAGAAAGGGAGATGAGAGATGCAACACTGAGTGTGAGAGGAGGGTTTGGCTTATATATATATATATATAGAGGGGTAAAATGGTAACTTCACTTCGGGGATAACGTGCACGTGGGGTGGGGGCGGGGACGGGACTGGGACACTTATCCCCGTCCCTGGCCCGAAACTAATCAGGAATTGATTTTTAAATGCCATCCCCGTCCCATGGGGGATATTTTTTGGAGAAAAACCGCTCAAATCGGGGTTGGGGGGTCGGGTTCCCGTCGGGCCGGGTTCAAATTGAAATCCCTATTTCCACCCCAATGTCTCATTCCATTCTTTTCCTTTCCTTTTCCTTCTCTACATTATCGTATCCTCTTCTCATGGTCTTCTCAACAAGAATGGACTCTTGGCTAGAAGTTAACGAGTTTCAAAGTGGAAGACAATTCATCTTGTAACTTGTTTGATATATGAGCATCGAGGGTAGGCATCTCAAGTGCAATATATAACGCTTTCCATGCACGGCAGTCAACTATACATAAGCATTATAAGGCAGAAAACTATAACCATGATTGTAAATTTACCATGAACTAATGAACAAAAGACACTCGTAGGCCTCAATACCAAGCAACAAAGCAACTTAATTTATGAGGAATTACATTATAAGTATATATTACTACAAAATTTCCAAAAGGAAACCACAAAAAGACACACCTCTAACACAAAACTGCAGCGAAAGGAGCCCCATCCATCAATTCTGGTGCCAAAATTAAGCCCTGTGTAATCAAGATTCAAGTCTAAATTATAATCTGTAGAAACGTAAATGATGCCACAATTCTCAAACTTGTCAAAATAAAACATTAGTAGGTTTTAGTAGGTTAATAGATCATCAGTAAAAAGCTGAAAGATAAATACAAATCAATTTGAGTTCATAGCACCAAAAAGGTAAAATATAAAGTATGTTTTTCAATCAAGTTGGTGATTTTATCTTCTTATTTTTTAACTTTTCTTTTGGCTCGGATTTTAGTTATGTTGATATATCAAGATGATTACAAACAGCAAGTCAATTCTTTCAGATGTAATAAATCAAATAGTCACTACACAGGTTCTCTGTAGCAGTTGAACAGATTATAAGACATCATATTGCCAACCAAACTGCTAGCATGGATTATTATGATTATGAACAACAAGAAAAGATGAAAATGACAAAGGTATCTACAACATGTTGACCTTCCAGTACTTTAGGCACCAGTAAGCATTTCTTAAAAGTGTACATACTGCATTCAAGAAACCAACTTTTGAATCATTTGTAATATATATTTTTCTGAGCTTGTATTAGAGTTTCTCTCTCTAAAACTCTCTAGAACTCTCTCTACAATCTCTCTCTCTTTGACTCTAGATTCCATCATCCACTTTAACAGATAACCTACAAGAATAGCAGTTCCCATGGATCAAAGAATCCTCAACTCAACAATCAAGGAATTAATTGTTCCAAAATATGGTTATATGGGTGATACATTTGAACCACCAATAGGCCAAGCACAAAGAGTTCTCCTGTCAATAATACCAAGATATATAAGCACACTCTCTCCTTAGAGTCTCCCCATCATTTTGCTTAGTTAAAAACAAATAAATAAATAACCAAAATTGGTTTGTGGAAAGCAGCGGCTTCTATGCAATCCTTTCGATATTTACCTGATCAAGACCAATTCGACACTTCCACAACTATATCTGTACAATTTTGTACCAACATGTGAAATTCTATACTACATTACGGAATTTGAATTCAGAATCTCCAAAGAAAAACATTCCAAAAACCTGCCTAAACAATTCTACACATGTTATATGTGTCTAGATATCACCCTCAAGATATAATCCACCAAATCCTTCCTACTACAGATGCAGCTCTGCAGCCAAAGCAAAAGAATCCTAGCTCAAACAGAGGGTAAACCAGCCCAACCATATAGAAAAATTTTCTACACCAAAAAGGGGAAGAGGGAGATAAGAAGAAGAGACAAACAACAATAACAACTGCATCAATGACAAGAAAACAGAAGCAGCACACACAAATACTGTCTCACTAAATTTATTTACAGGATAAGATCTTTACCAGATTTTCCTTCCTCAACACCCTCAGCAGTATCAGAAACATGAGATTTTCTCCTTATATATTCTAAAGCTACATTCTGCATACAAGTTGGATTCTGTAAAACAAAAAGTGAAGCCCCATTTGGCAGCAAAGAAAAAAGAGAGGAGACAGAATTAGAAACTCAACATACTTTGTCAAAAAAATCAGATGCTTGATATACATGTAATTTAGTTTGACTAATCTGTTACAACAATTACTCCCACCAAATGATAGTTTTTCCATATGTACCATGAAATTTGGTCCCAATAAGACATGTCTTTTGAGGAGAAAATGTCCAGGAAATTTCATGGGAAAGGAAAGGAGGCGTCCAATGGAATATCGAGAGTTTAAAAAAAAAGGCAAGAGAATCTTGTTATGAACTCTTACCAATTTCCTAGTCAACTTTTGATGTACATATGTCCATCGTTGGTATGTTCTTCAATGTTTTTGAAGCCTTTTAGAAGACTCAAAAATATAATAAAAAAATACCAAAAAATCCAATGACTGTTCTTCAAGGACTTCTTTAAAACCTACTGCTTCATTTTTACTGAAATTTATCACTGAACTTTCCACAAGTATCCTGATTGATTCAATTTGATCCCTCCACTTCCTTCCATGGTGATTGACCCATGCAAAGCAATGAAGACATTTACTTTTAATACATTTTGTAATATTCGAATGTCAAAATGAAACCATTGTACATCCCATGTTAGGTATAGATGGAATCAGTAAAAAAATTGAGTGATGAAAGAAGAAGCTTTATTACTGAATTCCAACAAGAAATACATTATTGCAACCTATGAAGCACGGACATGGACACGGACACGGACACGGCAATTTTCAAAAAATGGGGACACGGACACGGCAGGGACACGGCGAATTTTATTTTATTTATTTTTATACATTTTTATGTGTTATGTAGATTCATAATACATTAATCCTAAATCAAAATTAACAAACACTAACATAGTAACATTAATTCAATAAATATAACCACTACATTTAAATAAATTAATAGATCATCCATTCACAAAAAAGTTATAATAAATGATAACAAGAAGTAAGACGAGAAGGGGAAAACATTCAATATCTAACAATATTATTCACAAAAGCACTAAATAAGAGAGGCAGAAGAAAAGAAAAAAAAAAAAAAAAATTAGCCCCGCCGTGTCTCCTGCCATGTCCCTATATGGACACCTGTGTCCTTGCCGTGTCCCCTACAAAAATATCATTAAGTTAAAGGAACACACCATCTGGCATGTCCCGTACGTGTCCATGGCGTATCCTTGTGTCGGACACCGCCACGGCACTGATTTTGGAGTGTCCATGCTTCGTAGATTGCAACCACTACTTTCTTCATATTTTCTCTTTTTGGATATGTAGAGAATTCATTAGAAAGCAGCAGGGCAGGGGGCACACACAACTTGAGAGAATGAGTCATAAAAATAAAAAGCCTATGCAGCGTCATGAAGAAACAAAAGAATTGAAGCACCCTGAATGATTCAAAATAGCATCAGGAGAAAGGTTTCACTTCCCCTATCACCAAACAAAAAATCCCTGAAAAGAGCACCCAAATCTGCTCCTTCCAAAATGCACGTTGTGTCTCTCAAACTCTCTTTCCAAGCATGGCAGGAATTCAAAATATTATTGACACTAATAAAGTCAGTAAATATTTAATGTTTTCTCATGGTTATGTACTATTTATGTATTTTAAAGGTATGAATAATGTTTTAAATCCATCAATGCCAGCCTGGCAAGAGAGAGAGAGAGAAAGATTGCTGATCATTATGAGAGAAGCTTTTATTAGTTGCAATTCTCACCTAAGTAGTACAACCCCTAGTTAAAATCTATAACAGAGTTCCGTATAAAAATGTTTCCAAAGAAGAAAGAACTCAAGTGAAGTGTCTATCTAGGAGAAGGCAGTTGTCATAATGTTAATCAAAGAGATTAAGATAAAATAACAAAACCTCAGCAGGACAGATTCGATGCCAAAATTTTGCAAGCATTCAATATTATAATGTGTTTTAGGAGATTGAGTGCCAGCTATCCTAAATCTGATTGAGTGCCAACTATCCTAAATCTCAAAAGCCATGAGTTCTTTTTTTCTATTTGTTCTTGTTCACAACAATATTTGAGGGGCCATGCCTCCCTTTTGCCCCTGCCTGCTTCATGGTTCTTGTATTGCTTTCGGACCATGTTTCTTGCTGAATATTATCTGTACTGTTTCAGTTATCCAAGTGTGACTTGCCATTCTGGTGAAGTAGTCTGATAAATCTGAACTAGATAAATATGCATGTACAAGATATATAATTTTTAACTAATGAAATACTAAAGATTGGAAAATCTAGAGCACAGGATTATGGAAAAGCAAAATAACCTTGACCATCAAGACAAATTAATTTCCATAAACCCTAGCTCCATATCTGATGGCCAACACAATTACACGTTCATGTACACAACCATAATCCATGACCAAAGGCATAAATTTTGAATCAACAGAAACTATGCATTACTTAATTTGCAATGAAAGTAAACTCTTAAATTATGTTTATGATCAAACCAACCTCCTTGAGATGACGCAATTCCTTGAGCAAACTATCTTGAATATCAAGTAGATTAGCTCTCTGCATAGACAACAAGAAAGCATTACAGTATTTCTGCAGCAAACAATGACTTACAAAAAATAGAAATAAATTTTGCAACCAATTTTATAGTAACTAAATGTGACAGACACAACAACCCAACTATGACTCAATTCTCTAATCTTGAATATCAAGTAGATTGGCTCTATGCAAAAACAAAGGCAGCGTTTGGTAGAATTTTAGAATTATAATTTGAGTGTGGCGTTGTATTTTGAGTTTGTGAGTTTCTGAATTATGATTTGAAAAGAGAAAATTTGTTTGGTTATGAGTTTTGAAAAGAGATTTGAATTGAGTTTTGAATTTTTGAAATGAATTTTTAAATTAGAAAAGTTGTTTGATTCAAAAACTTATAATTCATAACCAAACACAAGTCAAAATTTTATTCAAAGCTCGTAACTAAACTCTTTTTAAAATTCAATTAAAAAAATAATTATTGTTAAAAACAATTTTTTTATTTAAAATTTTTTATGTAAAATATTAAAAAATATATTATTTTTTGTTAAAAAAAAATCAAAAACAAATCCCCATTTTTTTTTTTTTCAAATAACAAGTGCCAATTGTCCACCAAAAAAAAAACTGTTCCGGTCAATAGGCCGGTCGACCGCCTGAATATCCAGAAGGATGATCGCGTAGACCTAATTCGCTCTTTTCAAAATTCAAAATTCAAAAAACTCTCTGCTCTCCAAACATGATCTGAAATGAGTTTTGGAATGCGACATTAGAATCAATTTTTGAAAACTTAAACCGAACAAAGCATTGAAAAATGCACTGGAATCATGTTTCCAAAACTGCTCCAAACACAGCCAGAATTAAGTTTGAAACCAATTTTATGGTAGCCATTGGTAACCAACACAACTTTCTGCAATAACTCAATCCATATCCATCTGCATGAACTATCTTAAGCTTGCACCAAAATTTTAAACCCAAAAGCGAGCAATATAGGGAGACTAGAGAAATGATTACCAAGATATCATAGCCAGACCTGTATTATTTCAGTTAATGTTATATTCAGGGAGAAATATCATCAATAAAAAATGAACATAAAACCTGCTCAAGCCAATATCTACTCAGCAGCAGTATGTTTCTTTGCATGTAAGTATGCTAACCTCAGTCTTGAGACACCTATTTTCAGCCTCAAGTGATTTATTTTCAGCACCAAGTGATTCAACTTTCTGCAGAAAAGTAGAGACATGAATCAATGCAAGTTCCTATAAAATTCCTTTCAAACATCAATCCCATGAGACAAGAAATGATGTTGACCTTTTCTGAATTTTCATCAACCACAATTACTGGTGATGCATAAAGCTTTCGAACATCCTTCAAGGTGATCTTTTCGTTGCATTGAGGGCACTACAACATGGAAAAAAAGAAGTTAAATTGAGATTCCACTATCTGTTCTAGTGCAGCCTTATTACAGGATTGGCTATTCAGTTAAAATACCTTGGCAGAATATCCACCACGGTGTTGAATCCATCTATTGATGCAAGACATACCATAAATGTGCCCACAAGGAAGACAACTGCAATTATTAGATATCTAAATAAAAAAACAAAGCAAGACATAGTGGAAACAGAAATGCAGACAATATTCTTATATATCAGATGTATCTCACTCTACAGTACTATGTCGAATAAAAATGATAGGGTGTAGACCAACTCTCTGCTGAGTAGCATTTTTTCGCTGAAGGGCTTGATACCAACTACCAATGGTCAGATGTATCACTTAGATCCCATCAGTTTAGTGCATATCAGTTTAATATTAATGAAATTTGATCTAGAATCCCATTGTTCCATCGAAAGCATAAATCAAGAAAAAAAACTAGAGAGAGAGAGAGAACTTTTAAATGAACTTCTTCTATAGTAAATCATGAATACAACATCCAATGAGACAATAAATGCAAACATTATCAAAAACTAAAATGCTATTGGTCCAAATTTTTACCAAAACTATGTTCTGAGACTTCCATTGTTGGATATAGTTTCTGTGCAAATTAATTTTTGGAAGTCTCTCTCTGGGAAAAGACTACGGATTTTTTTTTTTTATGGAACCAAAACTCAATTTTGAGGGGCATGGCTTGGTGCAACGGTAAACTAGGGACATGGACACATATATATTGCATATTGTATAATATTCTTAGACATGATGTGATAAATTATTTAGGAATGCTCTTGAAATTAAATAGGATTTAGAAAAAAATATGAAATTTCCATCTCTCATCCATGTGTGACGCTAGAAATGTTTCCTTACTAACAAATGTGAGTTTTCTCATCTTCTCAAAGTTAGAATCCAAGTGTGTACATTGGATACGGCATTGGCCACATATCCCACACCCATAGCCTTCTTATATCCGGAGAATGTACTTTGGGAAAAATAGAAAAGTCCATGTAACACAAGATGAAACTTATCTCAAACTAGAACCTACAAAATCCTTGTGCATTGCATAGATTACAAGTAGCATATGTGTATATATGATAAATGGGTTGGGATGAGATTTGAAGAGCTTGGAGTAATAATTTGAGTTAGTGATGGAGAACAGGTAAGGAACCCGTCAAATGTAGAGAGTGTGGTCAGAATAGGGTCTGTCCCTATCTACCTCGTTGTCCCTATCTACCTCGTTGACTTCTCTAGGTGAGAGTGATGTCAAGAAGGCATTCATCCATTTAAACCACCATGGAGCAACAATCTTGGGATATGGCCTGGTGGTTTGGGCACATGGAATTCATCCATCACATTTGGAGCTCCACTACTCATCATTCAATGATCAGAAGCTGATGGCAACAACTGTTCACTCCTGCGGTTAGCAAATTCAGCAATACAAGAGATAGTTAACCTAGCATCCCACCAACTGGAAGTGGTTGAGAAAGTGGCTCTAACATCTAAGGGAGGACTGGTTATACAATGTCAGATTGCAGAAGTACAACCAATCATCCAATCAACACAACAATATTTAGCAACTTTAGTTTTATTAGCTATTGTAATTTCCATTTCCAAATTAGTTTAGTTTGCTCCAATTATTGTAATTCAATCCATTGAATGCAATATTGTTTTTCCACACTCGTTGCGTTTCTTTTCCACTTCAAATGCCTAGGAGATTTTAAGTCCTCATTGAGACAACCAAAGAACCAGGTGATCTTCACCCTGGACAACATACAATCTCTAGAAAAGATGTCACAATCCATTTTTGCACCGAACTACACCTAGTCCTGACACGCTGATGTAGGACAAGATTTTAAGAAATTCTATATCTTTATTTGTAATATTTTATTTATTTTTTATTTTTGATTGGCACTGGGGTGTTCAAATTAAAGTCCGACTAATCCTCAGGTGCACTGGCCTTGCCCGCAAGTGCACTACAATTGATTCAAGAGCTTTCCCCCAATCCGATGGCCCCAAGAAATTGTTAGATTTCTTGGTGTCCAAGTTTACTTGGCCTCCAAGGTCTAGGTTATTATAAATAGCTATGTAACCCTTATGGTGAAGACTATTTTGTTCAATAATATTAAAATATTTTACTCTTCCTTGTGAGTTCAAGGTTATATTTTCTTGTGGATTCAAGAGTCCCTTTGTCTACTAGAATGATATTTAGTCCCCTGTATATTCCGCTGCATCACGTGTCCATTCATTCACCCCTGAAGCCATTCCTCCTCCTTTCTTTCTTTTTTTCCCCCCGAGAAACAACATCGTAACTTCTTTTGACAAGCTAAAACCAACATCAAAACTGAACACCCCTAGACTTAATTAATCTAATTGACCTCTACTCTAGTTATTACACAACAAACAGCATAGTAATTCAAGTAATTAGATATCTAAATAAAAAAACAAAGCAAGACATAGTGGAAACAGAAATGCAGACAATATTCTTATATATCAGATGTATCCCACTCTACAGTACTATGTCGAATAAAAATGATAGGGTGTAGACCAACTCTCTGTTGAGTAGCATTTTTTCGCTGAAGGGCTTGATACCAACTACCAATGGTCAGATGTATCACTTAGCTCCCATCAGTTTAGTGCATATCAGTTTAACATTAATGAAATTTGATCTAGAATCTCATTGTTCCATTGAAAGCATCAATCAAGAAAAAAAACTAGAGAGAGAGAGAGAACTTTTAAATGAACTTCTTCTATAATAAATCATGAATACAACATCCAATGAGACAATAAATGCAAACATTATCAAAAACTAAAATGCTATTGGTCCAAATTTTTACCAAAACTATGTTCTGAGTCGTCTATTGTTGGAAATAGTTTCTGTGCAAATTAATTTTTGGGAGTCTCTCTCTGGGAAAAGACTACCGATTTTTTTTTTTTATGGAACCAAAACTCAATTTTGAGGGGCATGGCTTGGTGCAACGGTAAACTAGGGACATGGACACATATATATTGCATATTGTATAATATTCTTAGACGTGATGTGATAAATTATTTAGGAATGCTCTTGAAATTAAATAGGATTTAGAAAAAAAAAAATGAAATTTCCATCTCTCATCCATGTGTGACGCTAGAAATGTTTCCTTACTAACAAATGTGAGTTTTCTCATCTTCTCAAAGTTAGAATCCAAGTGTGTACATTGGATACGGGCATTGGCCACATATCCCACACCCATAGCCTTCTTATATCCGGAGAATGTACTTTGGGAAAAATAGAAAAGTCCATGTAACACAAGATGAAACTTATCTCAAACTAGAACCTACAAAATCCTTAGCATATGTGTATATATGATAAATGGGTTGGGATGAGATTTGAAGAGATTGGAGTAATAATTTGAGTTAGTGATGGAGAACAGGTACAGAACCCGTCAAATGTAGAGAGTGTGGTCAGAATAGGGTCTGTCCCTATCTACCTCGTTGACTTCTCTAGGTGAGAGTGATGTCAAGAAGGCATTCATCCATTTAAACCACCATGGAGCAACAATCTTGGGATATGGCCTGGTGGTTTGGGCACATGGCATTCATCCATCACATTTGGAGCTCCACTACCCATCATTCAATGATCAGAAGCTGATGGCAACAACTGTTCACTCCTGCGGTTAGCAAATTCAGCAATACAAGAGATAGTTAACCTAGCATCGTACCAAGTGGAAGTGGTTGAGAAAGTGGCCCTAACATCTAAGGAGGCCTGGTTATATAAGGTCAGATTGCAGAAGTACAACCAATCATCCAATCAACACAACAATATTTAGCAACTTTAGTTTTATTAGCTATTGTAATTTCCATTTCCAAATTAGTTTAGTTTGCTCCAATTATTGTAATTCAATCCATTGAATGCAATATTGTTTTTCCACACTCGTTGCGTTTCTTTTCCACTTCAAATGCCTAGGAGATTTTAAGTCCTCATTGAGACAACCAAAGAACCAGGTGATCTTCACCCTGGACAACATACAATCTCTAGAAAAGATGTCACAATCCATTTTTGCACCGAACTACACCTAGTCCTGACACGCTGATGTAGGACAAGATTTTAAGAAATTCTATATCTTTATTTGTAATATTTTATTTATTTTTTATTTTTGATTGGCACTGGGGTGTTCAAATTAAAGTCCGACTAATCCTCAGGAGTGCACAGGCCTTTGACAAGGAGTTTCCCGCAAGCGCACTACAATTAATTCAAGAGTTTTCTCTGAGTCCGATGGCCCCAAGAAATTGTTAGATTTCTTGGTGTCCAAGTGTACTTGGCCCCAAGGTGTAGGTTATTATAAATAGCTGTGTAACCCTTATGGTCAAGACTACTTTATTCAATAATATTAAAATACTTTACTCTTCCTTGTGAGTTCAAGGTTCTATTTTCTTGTGGATTCAAGAGTTCCTTTGTCTACTAGAATGATATTTAGTCCCCTGTATATTCCGCTGCATCACGTGTCCATTCATTCACCCCTGAAGCCATTCCTCCTCCTTTCTTTCTTTTTTTCCCCCCGAGAAACAACATCGTAACTTCTTTTGACAAGCTAAAACCAACATCAAAACTGAACACCCCTAGACTTAATTAATCTAATTGACCTCTACTCTAGTTATTACACAACAAACAGCATAGTAATTCAAGTAATATTACCACCAATTGGCATATAAACACAATTGATTGAACTAAATCATGAGTGGAAAAATATCTACAGTAGCAATAATGAAAAGGGCTTGTCTCACCAAACTTGATGATCGCCTTGGGATTTCCATGGCTCCATACAAATAGGGCAACTCAAGCCATCCAAATTGTATTCACTCAAATCCCTCTTTTTACAGCTTTTCTTTTCAGTTTCAGTATCTGCATTCGTCGACGAAGCCGGCGAAGCTTCATTGTTTACAACCGTTGCAATTCCGCCAATATGTAATTCTTCTCCATCAATGAGCATCGCAGTTGGAAGATCAGAGGGTGTGGGTTGATCAGGGGCTGAAGGAAGAGTCTGGGAAACCCTAATTCTGCCCATTCTAGCAATGTGAGTTTCGCGATGTGAAGTCAAACTCAGGAAGGGGTTGGCCATGGAGAAAAGAGAAGACGGAGAGAGAGTGGAGAAAGAAAAGCAGAGAGAGACAGACACAGGGAGGGAGTCGGCAGCAGCTATATACGGGCCTCGCTTGGAAGTGGGTTAAAACACCTTTTAATTTTTGAGTAATGTAAAGACCTTAGCATACCACCCTCGACATTTAACTAAAACCTTAAAGATTTTAGTAGAGATTTAACTAAATTATAAATATTTTTAAAGTTTCAAAATAATAAATTATCTCATGAAGTTTATATTTTCATAATAATTAATTTCTTAATTTGTTATGTAAATAGTAGATTCAGGGGTATCTATAATTTCTTAAACCTCAAGGTATCTATAATTTTGCTAAACCTTGAGGGGTATATGTAATTTGTCCAAGATTTTATTAAGGTCAAGTTTGGCAAGTTAAAAAAAAAGTCAAAAAGTTATTCAAAAAGTTAAAAAGTTATCACTATTCACCAAAAGTCAAAAAGTACAGTTGCACAACTCTCAATCTTAATTTTCTCCTATACACTAATTCATACAATTTTTTAATACACATTTTTTCATAAAAAGTCAAAAAGTTAACCTAAACAACCATATTTTTTTCCTCAACTTTTTAGTCTAAAAAATTAAAAAGTATATTTATTTAGGACATTCCAAACAATCCCTAAATGTGGTGTGAGACGCCTATAATGTGAATTTTATGTGGGTTATGTGGAATATTTGATTGAATTTTTAGAATTTTTAATATTTTTATTGATTGAATTTTTAATATTTTTATTAATTTTTTATTTATTCTAAATTACATTTCATCTCATAAATTATATATATATATATATATATATATTTAAATTAAAAAAAGGCAAAATCGTACTCAGCTAGTAAGCTTTAGATTAACAAACGAAAGAGAAATAATTGAGGCTTAAACCATCTCCAACCCTAGTATTAGATTTGTCATCAAATTTAAATTTGATGAAACACGCTACTTTTTGGGCTCCAATCGTGGCATCAAACCCGTATCAAATGAGAGGAAAACTAAAAATTTCATTAAATTAAGGGAGCGTTTAACCTTTTATCAAATCTCAATAGTGATCGTTGGTGGATGATCGGATGGATGACTGGCCGATCAACTGAGTGGACAACTGACCGAACTTGACCAGTTGGGCAATCGGGTGGACGACCGAATTGAAAAATTTTTGAAGAAAATTTACATTAGGCCAAACTACCACTGCCCCGATTGACTGGTTGTTTGATGAAAATTAAAAATTTAACATTAAAATATTTGTTATCAAATAAAACTTTTAATCAAATCTTTACTCAAATTTAGCGTTAGAGATACTCTAATAGCAACTTTTCACTCACTTCCCCCCTATTATTCTTAAACTTTTCCCAATCATTATCATCCTGTCCTTAACCCACCCTAGCCCTTCCCTATCCACTCCCAGTCTCATTCACTGCATTCTCGGTCTTCATCTACTATCTCCAACCTCCTCCATCCCATCTCAATCTCCTTTCGCTGCTCTCAACCTTATTTTTCCTCAACCTCGTCTATCCACTATTGGTCCCTTTCATCATCATCAACAACACAACAAAATAAAAATAAAAAAAAATAAAAGAGAGAAGAAATGAAGATCAAAGTAGGCTTTCACACTTTGCAAATGTAATTCACGACTGATTTGGAGTGGGTTTTTGCATAGATTGAAAAAGGAAGGGATTGGTTTGGAGTGGGTTTTTGCAAAGATTGAGAAAGGGTAAGGTTTTGCAAATAGGGGAGGGAGGAGAAGGGGAGGAAGGAGAAAGGGAGAGAAGTGAATAGAGGAGACAATGCAAATATGGGAACAAAAAATTATTATCTCTATGATTTTTCAATTAATTTTGCTTCCATGTCTAGTGTAATTTAAAAAGATTCTCAATCATTTTTGTTATATTTTGTCCCATTTACCATTTTGCATTGTGCTTTTTTAAAAAATTTGGTATATAAGAGCGTCTCCGGTGATATTTACTATAATACTATTGCTATTGATATAATTTGACAACAAATAGTAGTGATTTGTCAAATTACACTAATAGTGTTCTAATAATACACATGCTATTTTGACAAATCTCAACCAACTTCCCTTCTAAGTTTGTAGGTATTGTTCGGATATAAGTTTTTTAATTTTTTTATTTTTTGTCTTTTGTGACCTTTTTTTAACTGTTTGTAAAAAAAAATTATATATTTACATTATACTTACTAAACAAATATAAAAAATAAAAAATAAATTGAAAAAAAATTAAATATAATTCACCCCCACCAAAAAAACAACCACTACAAAAAAATAAAATCACATTGGAACATAAAAAATACTCAAAATTAAATGGACCACTACATTATATTGCAAAATAAAAATGACATTACAAATAAAGAGTACAAATTACATTAAAAAATAATATCATTGGAAAATTAAAAAATGCATTCTCCTATAATTATTCATCAGGAGGCAGGAAAAAATAGTAGTTTGGGTTGCTGACATTTGCTTACCACTTGGCGAAAATCTCATTTTTTCGCATTATGTAATACGCTTTCATCTAAGGGTCCAAATGAAAAATGTCTGTAATCATTATCAAATGTTCTTCATCTTTGGTCTCATGTTCTTGTTTTTGATCTCAAGTTCTTTCATCTCCTGCAGTACTTGAATCCTTTTTTCTTTTCTTTCTCAGCATGGTGTTGATTAAATATTTCCAACACATTGCTAAATTTGTGGACTTCAGCTTCAACGACTTGATTTCTCCAAAATAATTCTTTTACAACTTTCTTACCCATAGGCCTTTTATCCCTTACAAAGACACTACCTTCACTGATTGGATTATTACCAACAGTTGGATTGTTACCAACACTTGGACTGTTGTCATCTTCAAGAGAAATACAGTTATCCATAGGGGAATCGGAGGCTGAAAAACGGTGTATGTATCATTGACTTCACTGTGTTCGTAGGAGTTATATCTTGCCACCTGATATTGTTTTGCAAGATTGGCCAACGATGTTCAAAAGCAAAATATTTCTTTTCATCTTGATAGTATAAAAGTTTTGCTTGAAGCATCTGTATAGAGAAAATATTAAATTAATTAATTTGTTAATTTTTATACGATACAAAATAAAAAACTAACATAATAAATTAAGATGAAATCTTACTATGGCGGTGTTTGGGAACAAGGAAGACAGGCTATTGTAGTCCCAAATTACAAAAAAGGCTTTTAGCCTTAAATTATCCCACCTAATCCATTGATTTAAAAAAAAGAAAAATATGGAAAAGCAGTGGCTGTCCAGCAACACATTAGCCTACACTGTCACAAACAATGTAGGCTTTAGACAATGAAATGACGCTTTTACCCTTATAGGTCAATTTTGGAAAAAATAAGGTTAGGGAAAAATTTGTCATTTCAACTTTAAACATCATTTCAAACATATTTTTCAATACAAAAATCAACCCAAAAATTTAACCAAACTTCCCAAACACAAACTAAAATAGCCTACTAAAATAGCCAAAAAGCAAAAAGAAAAAAGTCACTTCCCAAACACCCACTATATCAACTTGAGACATCCCGCTTAGGTGAAAATTTTCGACTTGTGCTAAACACTCACGAAATTTGTTGGAACATTCATGATTATACCCCATCGAGATTGGATAGACACATGTGTTCTTAACTGATCATTCTAAAGCAAGCAATAATTTTCATAAATTCTCCACTAAAAGTGAGCATATGATTGTGAATTACCAATTGGGTCTTTAGAAATGTGACACCAAGATTTACAAATTGCCACATCTTCATCAATGGTGAATGATTTTCCTTTATTTGTTTTTGATGAACATTTCATAGTGATTGTGTGAAAAAACTAAAAATGTAATTTGGGAGATTTACTGTGAAATGAAATTGAGATAAAGGGAGGAGAAGAAGATAAATGTAATTTATTTGCTGTGTAATGGAATTGAGATTGAGAGTTTGGATTTACGGAAAAAAAGTATATGACTATTTTTTTAATTTTATTTTTATAATAACAGTTAAGACAAAATATTGCCGTTGTTCTTTCTGTTTTGCAAATTTTTCTTTTAATTTTTTTTTATAGGAAAAAAAGAGCGCGACGGTTATATTGCATTTCAAGACACCATCTACATCGTTGATTTTTTCACAATCCAATGGCTGAGATGAGAATTTTGGAATCATCGGCTGAGTATATATCTCTCTCTCTCTCTCTCTCTCTCTCCCTCGCACTCATCCATATCACCATCTTTAGTAAACCCAATTGGTTGATCAAGTCTAGAGCCTATGATGAGCCAATCAGTTGTTCATCCATTTTTCTCATCTTCATTTTTTAAGTTACCCCCTTTCTCTCTCTCTCTCTCCCCATGTTGATTTTATTTTTGTTGTTGTTATTGTTGATCAAGTCCAGAGCCTCATTCAAGTCCAGAGCCTATTACGAAGGTAGAGCTACGAAGATCTACCTCTAAGTCTAGACAAACCCATTTCTTTTTAGATCCATGTCTATTTCAAACCAAATTAGTTGAAAAAAATACAACAGATTCAGACCAAATTTGTCATCAATCATGTTGGAATTAAGGTATTTATCTTCTAAATTTGAACTAGATTGCTTCAGAAATTTATATAAACTTGTGAAATTTGTGTTGACTGATCATTCTCAAATTTGTTACTTATATAAATTTGTGAAATTTGGATTGACTGACTATTCTGAAATTTGTTATTGACTGATTGTTCCGAATATTTGCGAAGCCAAAATCTGTTATTTTTTATGATGTGGCATGCTTGGCAAATGCCAAACCTCCTGTCAAATTTGAGAATAGAAATGGCATCTGCTATTTTTGGACAAGAAGAATAGCAGGTCATTGGAGACCCTCATTTTGTCACTCTTGCCAAATTATAGTTTTGGCTAGTTGTTTGACAGCTCCATTGGAGATGCTCTAAGGTGCTATTTGATAAAACTGAAAATTGAAAATTAAGTATGAAAAATTGAATGCTGAATTTTTTAATCTAAAAAGTTGTTTGGTATGTACTGAAATTTAAGTACTAATTCAATTAAGCTG